AGGTCCCATTTGTTTTTTCTTGCTTTTATTTCTTCTAGGAGAAAATTTTTGAAATGTATGTCAGATAATGTTTTACCTATGTTTTCCTCTAGGAGGTTTATTGTATCTTGTCTTATGTTTAAGTCTTTAATCCATTTTGAGTTGATTTTTGTATATGGTGTAAGGGTGTGTTCTAGCTTCATTGTTTTACATGCTGCTGTCCAGTTTTTGGAATCAGCTTTAATTTTCAATTTTATCCAATTCATAGAATTGGAATAAATATGAAAGGGTGCCATAGGGCAGAGTATAATATTTATTTTGTTATTTCAGGAAATATTTCCTTATTGTTCAGAAAGGTTTAAAAAAAGAAAAGGTTCAGAAGCAGAGAGAATATCACTGATGAAGATCACTTATCCTGCTCTTTGGTTCAATCGTTTATATCTTTGGCCTTCTCCTGTTCCCCTCCAAGATGATACACAAACTTTTCTATGAAATCTGGTTTTTTTTTTCAGTCTCTCCCTCTCTCCCCTTCTCTCTCCCCCCTTCCTCTCTCTCTTTCTCTGTAAACATCTGAGAATGAAGACAAGAAGTCGATGGTAGAATGATGCTAGTTTAAGGATGGGCAGGACCATGTGAAAGTTGTGAGAAGAAAGTGAATTCTGGTACCTCCTCCCCTTCTGTAATCAAGAATTGTAGAAAAGATGCTTCCCTTAGAACTGAGAGTAGACTTGGTGGGGAGTGAGTGCCTTCTCTGTGGGACAGTCTCATGTGCAATAACACAAACTAACCTCAGAGAGAGATGCTGAAACGGCAAGTGGAACCAGAAAACCAGGAACACCCAGCCTTGGAGCTGATAGCCCCACTCCTCCCCCATGACTTTATTAGGCAATGATACTGTATTATAATAGGATAAACCCCTCTGTGATTTTTTTAGTAATTAATTGTCTCACCTTATCTTGTATTTTAAATTATTTTAGGTGTTTAGTTGAAAGTCACGAGTGAGTGCAGCTGGTTTGAGAAGTGGTTTATCCAGGATGGAGAGTCAGAGAATAAACTTATGCAGTTGCTGAAATACTTATTTAGAAGGATAGGATCTAGACATGAGACATTTAGAAACTTGGTGTTGCAGCTTTGGGGGAGGGTGATCATCTGTAGAGTCGAGAAGGTTCCTTCAACTTCAGCTGACCTCAGGGAGAAACCTACAGGCAAAGTACATTCAGATCTTACCTGTGAGGGAGGACAGCCAACAAGTCAGCTAATGCCCCAGGGGGACAGTGTCCCTGGATCGAGAAACTTCAAGCAAGCATCAGGACCTGGGAGAATATAAGAAGACTCCATAGTCTGTGCAAATAGAAGGCAATGGATTTCTAACATCAGACAGCTTCAGTCTGCTAGGTGGAAAGCAGAGTTAAGTTTGTTTTTTTTTCAATTTTTACTGAAATATAGTTAATTTACAAGGCTATGTTAGATTCAGGCATATAGCAAAGTGATTTAATTTTATGTATATATATTATATATTTTTTTCAGAAAAGAATCATTATAGGTTATTACAAGCCATTAAATATAGTTCCCTATCCTATACAGTAGGTCCTTGTCATTTATCTACTTTATGTATAGTAGTGTGTGTTTGTTAATCTCAAATTCCCAATTTATCCCTACTTCCCTTTCCCCTTTGGTAACCATAAGTTTGTTTTCTTCTTTAAAAAAAATGTTTTTGTTTTTATTTATTTATTTTAAATTTTAAATTTTTAATTTAAATTTATTTATTTTAAATTATTTTAAATTTTAAATTTATTTTAAATTAAATTTATTTTAAATTTGTTTTTATTTATTTATTTTAAATTATTTATTTATTTCCCCTCCCTTAACGGAGGCACTGGGGGATTGAACCCAGGACCTTGTGCATCCCACTGAGCTATACCCCCAAAACCCCCATAAGTTTGTTTTCTATGTCTGTGAGTCTGTTTCTGTTTTGTAAACAAGTTCATTTGTCTCTTCTTTTTTTTTTAGATTCCACAGATAAGTGGTATCATGTGATATTTGTCTTTCTCCGTCTGACTGACTTCACTTAGCATGATCAGCTCTAGGTGTGTCGAGGATAAAATTTAGGAAGTACTTTGAAGATAATTCAAAGTTATGTAGCTTCAGGCACAACATCAAAACTGGATCTCATAAGGGACAGGTTGAGTGAGAACTCACTGTAGTCGTGTTTAAAAAGTGAAAGGTTAGGGAAGCTCTGGCCATTTGATACCTCCTAACTCCTTTTTCCCAGAGCTCCACCGCCTCATGTGAAGGTCAGATCCACGAAGCCCTGGTGAGATTCAGCTCCCTGATGGATGGAGGTAACTTGGAACCAGGTCAGTTGTAGCTTTTTACAAAGACAAAGTCAATGGCAGTATTTCAGTCATTTTAAATCTTTGTTCTGTCCTGTTCCTGTGGATGCTCATATTTGCAGCCAGTGATAAAGATCCTTAAGTACTTTTTTTTTTATAATGGTTTCACTGTTCTGCAGAATCAGAATAGTATCACGGAGGGCTGTGTCTGCACAGATTGGAAAAATGACTCCCCGTAGCTTACATGCAAAAGGAAGTCATTTCAAGACTACTGGGTAGCTCATCAGATTGAAAGGGGAATTGAAAATCAGTCAGGCACAGTACCTTGGCAGCTCTAAGAATCCTGTAATGGGAGCACTCGGTCATTCTCCTTTGGAGATGAATGAGAATATAAACATATGGTTTACATCCACTGTCTTTCCCGCTGTGAGTCATTTCTCTTGAGATTCAAGTTCCGGGAAAGGGAGTCGAATTGTCCTGACTGTCCAGCAGAGAGGGGAGGAGTGCAGGGCACCGTGATTGACACATCCGAAGGCATCGATCAGTTTTGCAAAGAAAAATCCGAGCGCCGTTACTTAAAGAACGTTGGAAGTATTCTGGGCAGGCAAAACCTGTCTCTGCAAGTCACATCACACTGGCAGGTAATGATTTTACCTGGAGTAGAGCTTTCCCAGTAAATCAGTTGCTAATGATGAGTGAAGTATAACAGCAGCTAATTATCTCACTGGCACCTCACTGCTTTTAGAGCTTAGCCACGGCAGGCCAGTGGCTAGGTGATTTTATTAAAAAAAAGAGAAAAAGAGGAAAGAGCAAGGAAGAGGAAGAAGGAGGGGAGAGAGGAGGGAAGAAGAAAAAGCAGCTCAGATCATAGCCACCATCACCCAGGGAGGACCAGGGTGGTGGAATCAGTGCCTTCCTCCCTAACACCTTCCCTGTGTATGATGCACCTCACACCCTTCTCTCTTCATGCCACGTGGTGGCTGGAAGAGCACGCAGAGAGAGCTTATCCCTAGAAAGAAAATCTTTTCTTCTCGATCAGCACGGTCCGATAGAAATACAGCACCAGCCACGTAAGTGCTTTTAAATTTTCTACTAAGGAGCACGAAAAGCAAAAAGTAACAGGTGAAGTTAATTGCAATAATTTGTTTTATTTGATTGAGTCTATCCACAATATTAGCAGGTCGACATGTCATCGATACAAAATGTGGACGAGATACGTTCCGCCTTTTTTCACGCCAAATCTTTGACAACTGGGGTGGATTTTACACTTACGGCACAACTCAGTTTGGACTAGCCATGTTTCCATAGCCACGTGGGACTAGTAGCTACCATATTGGACAGCAGAGTCTTGGAAGATTCTGGCATTCTGGCTTTACTTTGAAACATTGAAGCCCTTGTGCACTTATTGTGCAGTTGTATCTGAGGTGTGTGTGCGGGTCAGGTGTTCTGTTTTCTTATATTTTAAGCCAAAGGAGAGGTGAACAAGCTTTATTTCCACTCCATGTTAACCAAGCTCAGATGGTTTGTTTGTTTTTCTGATTCACTGTGGTCATTTTTTTTTTCCCAGCTTTTGTTCTGGAGGGAAGTCAATGTTCTGTGGAACTTCAACAATGGTTGCTTGGAGACAAAACAGAGAAGCCCTCTCCAGATGAGGAACACGAGGCCAGGTGAGAACACAGAACTTGTCTGGAGGTTGCAGGCTGGGGGTTGCAGAGCTGGGATTGCAGCCTCGTTTGCCTTTTCTGCAGCGTAGCCCTGAGCTTGGTCTGACGTCAGACGCATCTCATTTCTCTGCCACCGACCTTGGTGTGTAGCTTACTGGTCCCTGAACCTCCAGGTGAGGCTGGGGATGGTCAAGAAGGCTGGGGAACCAGATCAGGGATAAGAGGAAGTTGCCTCTAATTAGTCTGCTCTGTACAAAGGCAGCCACTCACATCCAGGTCTTTAAACACCATAGCCTCCTGACTAAATGTTTGCAGACATGCGCATCTTAAAGCTTCATTCTCTTGGTTGCAGAGAAGCCATCTGTTGGGCACAGGAAAGTTTGTTCATCTCCACTAATCATTCCATTCCAACCTGTGTGGATCATTTTTAATTTTTTAAATAGTAGCTTTTTTCCCCTCGTTATGACAATAGTATATGCTTCATGTAGAAAATTTGGGGGAAAAAGTAAGTCTGCATCATGAACACAAGTAAATAAATCACCTGTTTTCTTAACAGTGGGAGGAAGCTCAAAATGGTGTATTTTGATATATTTGTTTCTGGTGTTTTTCCAAAATATATGAATATAACATATATACAGTTTATTGCTTCAATAACAGTGAGATTATACTGGACAATTGGTTTGTAACTTACTTAGTTTTACCGTTTGCTTCACTGCTTCCTGTGGTAGATTTTGGTTTCTTGTCATTCACTTGGGTCACCAGGATTGCTTCATACAAGTTTTTTCTCACTGGCCTCATGATCCAGCTGAGACTGGCCCTGTGCCCTGGGTCTCCATGGATGGGAAGGCTTGGACCAGGCTCACTGTGTCTTCTGGGCTCAGTGTGCCTGTGGGACAGGCCGGGCAAAGGAGGAAAGTAGGGGACCACAGAACTGACCAGCCACTCTGAATCCCACTGGCTTCCCTGAGGAGCCCAAGACAGTATCCCAATGGGTCAGTTTTTCAGAAGGTACAAATGGCTGTTTTAGTACAACTGCAAAGACAGCTGAAAGGATGTCTGAGGGCTTCTGTGAGTTTGGAAGAGAGGGGTTGACCACACTGGGGCTCGAGAAGGGGTGTTGAGAGGGAACAGAGTTCAGGACACATGAATGGATGTGTTCTCAGCCTAGTCTGCAATGGACAGACATGGTTACCTGAAACCTAAGACCCTGCTACCTGGCCAGCAGACCCCTGGTTCCTTCCACACAAACACACACACACACACACACACACACACACACACACACACACACACACACACACACACACACCACACGACAGACGTACGTACCGTAACAACCGAAACGACACGACGGTTACGGTACGGTTACCCGTTACCCCGTTCCCCTTCCCCGTTCGGTTACGGT